CCCCAAAACCCCAAAACCCCAAAACCCCTAGGCGCAAGGACTAAGTTGACTTTTTATGTGATATTTTAAGCTAATTTTAGTCATCTTTATTGCTTTCATGTGTATTTTTAGGCCTTTTTGGACTATTTACTTTGTCAAGAAGCTTGCTCATAATTTGGGTATGTGAGTCCATCATTATTTTAAAGTTTTTACTGTTGTATGCGCACATTGTGGACATCATTTCACTCATTGTGTTGAGATAATCACTTGTCCGCGACTGGAAGTTATGGATGTACGAAGCGTGGATCATATTATAATTAGGCTCCTCCTTGGAGTCTCCCATCTCATTTTGAGCTTCATATGGGTGTATGTATCCATATGGAGATCGATGCACGTTCTCATATCTTCCATATATTTGAGGGTGTTGAATTGCAGGATAGCTCTGATAGTCATTTTGTTGTGTATATTTTTCAGTTTTCTCAATATTTTCCTGTTGGTATTTCTTGATATCAGGTTTTCTTTTGTCAAATCCCATGAATCCTTGGGTTACTGCTCCACCTCTAATGCGGTTGCTACCTCTATTGCTTACAATAGTCTTGGTATCTTGAGCAAACGACTGTTTTTCCTCTTCTATTTGGGGCTGATCTACTTCTTCAGAGTGTTTACTTGAGGGATAACCATGGCTACTCTCGGGGCATGGAGTTTCGTCGTGCCTTCCTTCATAATCTCTTGCATGAAAGTTGAGTCCTTTCCGATCTTCAAAGTTTAGGGTGGGACTTTTAGTCATCTTAAATCTGTTCTGGTTCTCCAAGGATTTAGGGCCAAATGATTTGTGATTTCTCACTTTAGAAGTTTGGTTACCAATAAATCTATTCTCTTGTGCTCAATCTTCTTCATGACTTTTTCCTGAGAGAGGCATCATGATGCCTGAAGTGAGATTCACACTGTTTTGTTTAGTAATATTATTAACATGTTTCTTCACACCACAAGGTCTCTCAAATTCTTGAAATCTGCTAGGAGGAGTTTCATCTTTTGAGTTATGAATGTCTTGGCCAATGTAATTCTTGCCATCTTCAGGTTGAGAGAAGCTATTTTTTCCCTCATAGACACTTTCTTCAAATCTGCCAGTTATCTTGATCTTGACTTCTTTGAGAGATTTCTTCTTGATAAGTGATTTACTTGATTTATAGCCGTCTTCGCTTGGTATATTATCATTTGAATTATAATCCTGATTGATGTATTCATCATTTTGAAGAAGCCCCTGGTTGGCTTTTCTATCAGTGCTATTTTCAGAAATTTTCTGATCTTCTTGTCTTACTTCTGTCTGAAGGAATGGTACCTCATTTTGGTGGTCATGAAAATGCACTGGCTCAGGCGTACTCTCTTGCATCTTTTGGTCGAGATGGCTTTCATCACTAGATTGTTTTGAAGGCATTCGACCATTGATTTCTTGAGGTGACACAGATTGATCTTTACAATTTATGCTAAATTTTTAGAAATCCATAATTTTGGAGGAAATTAGTCAATTATTGATAAATATTTTGAAAGAATTGATCTTTAAGCAAACTAAACTCTTTGGGGGGATGAAATATGAAAGTTTTAAACTCACCAAACTAAAGAATCTAAAAATAAATCCGATTTTCTAGTCCTATCCATACCTAATAAATCTCTCTGCCTGGTCCTGATTGGGGATGTCTCCTTTTGTTGAGCCATCTCTGGTCTTCCCTTTGATGGATTTAGATGATTCTTCATGAAGCTGCCGAGGAAGAGCAACTTCAATGGGTGCATCGAAGGATTTGTTGTCGAGATATTTATCAGTTTCTAGAAAGTTCGGAGTCATATTTGGTAATTTTTCATTTTGAGTCTGGGCTTCAACGGATATATGTCGGGAATGAGTCCCTTTTACACTCTTTTCAGCCTGATGGGTTGGTAATGAGGGCAAGAGCTGCGATATCTGAGGCAAATTTATGTGGGATTCATGTTTTTCTTTAATACCATCAGCTGTGTTTGACTCAAAACGATCCAAAGCCATGTTTGCAGAAGGGTCTTGAGTAGGGCCATGAGAGAAATCATTTAGCACAAACCGGTCTTTTTCATTAAAAATTGGATCACATGGGTTAGAGTCCATAATACTTTTGGAATGCTGTGCTTTTCTTTTCTCAACCTCAACAAGATCATTCACTAAGAATGTTGCAGAGCCTTCGTTTATTTTCTGTGCGAATTGGAACCTTCCAGTATTGAGTGAATTTCAAGGACTCTTCCCATCCGAGTCGTCAGAGTCTTCAAGTACTAAATCTTGGTAAAAATTTGAAACTGCGGGTTTAGTGCCTTTTAGATTAAGATCAAAGTGAGGCTGAGATGCTCCATCATTTCTCTGGAATATCATTGGCATTGATTCCACCTTGTTCATTCCTTTTAAAGGAGGAGCTTCTTTATCCTCATGTGTTATTAATGAAAACCTGTTTTTAATACTACTGCCTTCTTCAGCCTTTTGGTTGAAGGATGTTGAGGCAAACTCGGGTAAGTTTTGTAGAGGAAGATTTATGAAATCGTTATTTGTTTCAGAAATCTGAACCATATTTGAATCATTATTCCCTCCCATTCCTTCCCTTGGAGTGTTATCTTCTGAATTAAAGTGATGTAAGGGTGCTGGAGGCAAGTCAAATTCAGATAGCTCCTGAGGGTTGAACTTCTGCTCCCCTAAGTTTAATTCACCTAGATTTTCCACAGGTACAAAAGGCAAGAGTGTATTTAGGTTTGCTTCAACTTCGAATGCGGCTGAGCTTGATTTTTCAGAGTTCATGTCAAATCTTCAGGGTATTTTGTCCATTGCTCTGTTTTACAAATTTTTAGGAAAAATAGGAAATTTATAATATTATTAATTCAATTTGTAAGTAAATAGTGGGGTTTTGGGGTTTTGGGGTTTTGGGGTTTTGGGGTTTTGGG